GGGGAAGCCGCCAACAGGAGGAAGAGGAGACAAACTTGAGAAAGAAAGGGCTAAGGGACAGGGGTCTTTCACTAGAAACATCAGCAATTAGCCGGGTGGTGGTGGCACATGCCTTTAATCCCAACACTCGGGAGGCAGAGGCAGGCAGAGTACAAGACCAGCCTGGTCTACAAGAGCTAGTTCCAGGACAGCCTCCAAAGCCACAGAGAAACCCTGTCTCGAAAAAAAATTTTTTTTCTGGGAGGTCCAGTCACCTTGATAGGAAGCCCAGATACTTCTCCCCCTAAATATCTCATCCTGCCTCCGAACCTTGCATAGTTGAAGGATAGTCGCTGCAGTTACTCTGCTGAGTGTGTTCACAACTGACCCCTTTAGAGTGGGTTTTTGTGGCCATGTACACAAATAACCAAAGGGGTTTCTAGAAACTTGTTATAGACTGGACACGAGGGTGCTGGGGAAATGTAAAGCAGGTGTTGGACTCATAAGCCATACGGAACCCCCTTCCATAGAGGGCTCAACAGGAAAAGAGGAAGAATGGGAGGTTAACAGGCAGACACAGCTCATCATGAGTAAATGTGGGCGACAAAGGTGAACCTGGGTCAAAGCTGGAGGACAAGGGAGACCTCAGCAGCTCACACTGGAGAAACTTCCAAAGAAAAACAGCCTATATGGAAACAGGTCTGGTGTTCTGAGAAGCCAGCATGGCTGACCCTGGGGCCAGGACTAGCTTGTGTTATACAGGCAGTTTATTCTAGGCAAACTTTTCCTTTAGGATGATTAACTTACATTTACCTCCAGTGACAAAACACATGATCTCAGCTTTGTTGTGGAGACTGCTGCAGGGTGTGTGTGGGGGGCTGGTGCAGTGGCAATCCTGAAAGTTCTGCTCCAGTCTGACTCTCCATAGGTAACAATGGCCATAGAGCCAGCACAGCTATAGAGCTAAGCAGACTCAAATGGGTCTTCAGTGTTTCCATGCTTTTATTATCAAAAAGCATGGACTTCGGGGCTGGAGAGACGGCTCAGTGGTTAAGAGCACTGGCTGCTCTTCCAGAGGTCCTGAGTTCAATTTCCAGCAACCACATGGTGTCTCACAATCATCTGTAATGAGATCTGGTGGCCTCTTCTAGCAAGCAGGCATACATACACTGTATATTTATAATAAACAAACAAATAAATAAATGAAAAACATGGACTGGACACGGTACTTCTTCATCAATCAGCAGTTTTTATTTACGTGTAGTAATTGAGCAGCAAGCTTACGATTTGTCCTCAGAAGCTTTATGCTGTGGGACTCAAGTTCATATTAACAGCAAGCAACAGACATCTGTAATTCATACAGATTTTCAGAACCCAAATAAGGGAATAGTATGCGTTGCTGCAGAACAGTCTCTGCTCTCTGAAGTCCAGTTTTAGTTCTGTGTCGTACAAGCTCATGTTCATTCACTAAAGGACAGCAAAAGATCAGAGAGAAAAAGCGCATGAGCTTGATCCTAAGCACTAATCACAGCACCCTTGTCCAGGCCCAGACACTGTGGAATAGACTGCCTGACTCTTTCCTTCATTTATACTGGGCCAAGATGTCTCAAGTGCTAATCAAGCTAAGGCAGACCCAACAGGCAGACTTTCCTGGCAGGTACCATATTCTTAACCTTCGGAACCAGAGACCCCTGTGCACTGGTTGGTATTATGATGTCTAACAGCAAAATATGTACTTAACTCCACATGGCACCCATGGTATACACAGCCTGTGCATACAGTCATGCTGTTGACTCCCACAGCTCCCATTCTCCATATCCCTTGTTCTGTGAGCTTCTGTCCTCTGGCTCCATTAAGGGCCAGTAGAAAGTAAAGGAGATGGGAAAGAGAGAAGTTAGGAGACCCTTTCTGCTTGGCAGTTGTAATGGTCTCCTTACTTGATAGACACCACAGACAAACAGACAAATATGGAGACAGATAGACAGAGACAGAGAGATAGGGACAGACAGAACAGAGAGACAGAACTATGAGACACAGAGAAAGAGACAGAACAGACAGATATAATACACATGCACAGATACATGTAGGTCTGAAGACTGGTTCTGCTCCAGTTCCTGGCACTTTCTTTTTTCTTTTTTTTAAAAGATTTTATTTATTTATTTATTTATTTAATATGTATACAGTCTTCTGCCTGCATGCCAGCAGAGGGCACAAGATCTCATTCAGGGTGGTTGTGAGCCACCATGTGGTTGCTGGGAATTGAACTCTTAACCGCTCTTAACCAATGCTCTTAACCACTGAGCCAACTCTCCAGCCCCCTCCTGGCACTTTCAACACCAGCTTCTTGGCTTGCAAGTTTCTGGTCCCTTCAGGTGGGATCAACAGGCCTTTGTCATTATGTATCTTCACAGCCAAAGGACTCAGTGCCTGGTCCAGGAACCGCCACCCCCTGCCTCCCTGCAAGTCTGCTCCAGCTATCTTCTCCAACTGCAAATGGACACTAACTACAAGCAGCCACTATTGGTGCTGTTGGTGGGATTTGGTGGGATTTGGTTTTACATACATACTCCCCACCACACACACACACACACACACACACACACACACACACACAGCTTTAGTAGGTGGGGGTTGGGGTGGGCAACTTACCACTGGCAGGCACAAGGCCAGGAGTCCAGTTCTCTTTGTGCAGTGGGGAGAGCTGTTCTCGCTCAGTGGGAGGCAGCATAGGCTCCAGCACTCCGAGTGGCTGCGGCATTTGACCCCTTCATGCTGGAGAGAGACGGTCAGATATAATCTAGACCCAGTGAGGTCACCAGGGACCCCGCTCCCATGGGGTGGCCCCATGGAGAGCACCCGTGCTCCATGCTCACCTTGCGCCAAGATACACACTGCAAGAAGATGGACTTTGCTGAGCAGAACTTCTTTGGGCTGTCACCAGTCCTGACGCAGCATTTGCTATAGCATTCTGAATGTTCTTCACATAAGTGCCCATTTGGCTGCAAGGGAGCAGGGGACCAGCATTCTCTGCTGCCAGGGATCCCCTTCCCTCTACCACTCTTGAGAACCCCCTTTTTCCCCACCCAGGGGTCACTTCCTCTAGCTCATCCAAAAGCAGGTAGGAGTGGGGTCAGAAGGTGTCCTCTGCTGGTTTCTTTCCCCCCTTAGGTGTCACTAGGGGCCCCAGTCACCTTCCTCCAGGGCACACATTGCAAGAACACGGTCTGGGGGGTGCAGAATTTCTGTGGGTTCAAGCTGTTAGTGACACAGCAGTCACTCTGACACTCCGAATTGTAGGTACACTGCTCTCCGATCCCCTGAAACAACCAGATTCTGTTTACCTGCCCCAGGGCAGTTTGGCAGACCCAGTCCCCAGAGAAGCCTTCTCCATTCAGATACTGCCTCTACCCAGTCTTGCTGTCTTGAATCAACCACCTTTCAACTCAAGGCATGTTGTCTGGCCTGGAAAAGGGGAAGATGGAAAAGGTAGACGGCAATAGGGGAAGATGAGGAGTGGGGACCATGCAAGAGAGCACCTGAGCCTAGCAGGAGTGTCGGCCTTTGATCCCAGCACTCAGAGGCAGAGGCAGGCAAATCTCTTAGTTCAAGGCCAACGTTGGTCTACAGAGTGCATACCAGGACCGCTAAGACTACACAGAGAAAACCTGGTCTCAGAAAAACCAACTCCCCCCACCCCCAAGCATCTGTTATAGGCCAGGTGTGCAGAAGGCAAGCTGAGATACCGAATATAGACCATGTGGCAGAGCAATAAGGCATGGGCAGGAAGGCCTGTGTGGTCTGAGTGGCTCAGCTCTGATGCCAGATGAAGAAACTGATACTCAGAGATAATCACTGTCCCAGGGTCACACAGTTATCTCATCAGGAGCTAGCAAAGGGGACCAGGAGTGTTCCACCCAGATCCCGTTTGTCTTGCTTTTATAAAAGCAAAAGCAGTATACTGGCTGTAGGTTAAAGGCAGGGTAACTGCTAAGCAGACAGCAGCTAGAGGTCAGTGAGGAGCCACACCAGCACACAGGAGAGAAGGCAGAGGAGAGGAGGGGAGAGGAGGGGGAGAGGAATGGAGGGGAGGAGAGTCACAACCACAAGACACAGTGGTGGGTGATTTGGGGGCATGTACAAAGGCAACCAGGGATATCACATTGCACAGAAAGGAATCACGGGAGACCTTAGGAGAGCGCTTGTATCTTGCCTTCTGGAGCATTCTCCCAATCTGCTGTGTTCTCAAGCCCCTCCCTACTGGGCCTGCCCATATGATCCAGGCCCCAGCCCCTATCTACTGCATCAAGGCCCTGGGCTTCCCCACCCTTTCACAAGCCTCTGTGAACTAGATTCGGGACTTCTATCTAACAAGCAATCAGTGGGAAAGCATGGCCTGAGCTCACCTTGTAGGATAAAAGTGTCCTTGTCTTCCTACTCTGGAACATGGGTACAGCCCAGAGCAGCAGCAGCAGCAGCAGCAGTAGTGGTTTCCACACCATGACAGACATCACACGTTAGACCTGTCAGGGTTTAATGGAGTAGATTCTGCCCTTAGCTTCCAGCAAACTGTCCCCCCCTCTCCCCAGTACTTTCTCTTATAAAGTAGCTCTTATAAACAATTAAATGTATTTTTGTGAGCAGTTTTGGGTTTACAGAAAAAATGTATATAAGGCCTGGGACTGTGTTTCAGTCAGCAGTATACTACGCCCTCAGTTTGATCCCCAGCCATTTATAAACATGGCACGATGGTGCGTGACTGTACTCCCCACACTGGGATGATGATCAGAAGAAGGTCAGGAGTATTTTTACTCACAGAGCAACTTTGAGGCCATCTTGGACTATGTGAGACTCTCTGTCTCTCAAAACAAACAAACAAACTATATGCCACACATCTTTAATTGAACCACTTGGGATGCGGCAGTAGGAGGATCCCTGAGCATTTCAGACCAACCATAGCTACATAGTGAGACTCTGCCTTAAAATAAACAAACAAGCAAATGAATAATGGCTAGCGAGATGGTTTGGTGGTTAAGAGCACTTCTTGCTCTTGCAGAGGACAAAGTTCAATTCCCAATACTCACAATCACTTTTAAATCCAGTTCCAGGGGATCCAACACTCTTCACTCACCTCCTTAGATACCAACACACACGGTATACATACATACATTTTGGCACACATACATAAAATAAAAATAAATAGTTGGGCAGTGGTGGTGCACGCCTTTAGTCCCAACACTTGGGAGGCAGAGGCAGGCGGATCTCTATGAGTTTGAGGCCAGCCTGGTCTACAGAGTGAGTTCCAGGACAGCTAGGGATACACAGAGAAACTCTATCTTGAAACCCCCACCAAAAGAAATAAATGAATTAAAAAAACAGATAAAATAAAACCTGAACTGTGAAGAAAGAGGGTTCTAGTTCTCACATATCCACTTTCTGCCTCAGTCCCTTTTTTTTTCTTTAGTAATATGTCACACAGTGGGTGGGTGATTACACCATTGAACACACACACACACACACACACACACACACACACACACACACACACACACACACTACTGCACAAATCCTCGGTTCACACTGGGCCTCACACTTGTCAGTCACTTGTTTCAGATTTGGCCAAATGTAGAATGACATGTCCACTGCACATCACACAGAGAATTGCCTGCTGTTCTTGTTCTTGCTCATCCTCCCTCCTGCCCACCAAGACTATTGCTGGTTTTTCTCTTTTCCTGTTTCTGTAGTTCAGCTTTTTCAGAAGGCTCAAGCTAGAACCACATCTGCGGCTTTTTTGTTTTGTTTTGTTTTTCGAGACAGGGTTTCTCTGTGTAGCTTTGGAACCTATCCTGGCACTCGCTCTGGAGACCAGGCTGGCCTTAAACTCACAGAGATCCGCCTGCCTCTTCCTCCAGAGTGCTGGGATTAAAGGTGTGAGCCACCAATGCCCGGCCATCTGTGGCTTTTAGGTTAAGGATCCTCTGTCTTTTCATGATTTGATAGCTTACTTCCTTTTTTTGTGTTGTTTTGTTTTTCAAGACAGGGTTTCTCTGTGTGGCCCTGGCTGTCCTGGAACTTGTCTGTAGACCAGTCTGTAGATTCACAGAGATCTGCCTGCCTCTGCCCCTCTGCCTCTGCCTCTTGAGTGCTGGGATTAAAGGCATGTGCCATCACTGCTCGGCCAGCTCACTACCTTTCCACACTGAATGGAAGCTTGACTTTCTTTTTAAAGATTTATTTATTTATGTATTGTGTGTGTGTGTGGGGGGGTGCGCGCACGTGTGTGTGTGTGTGTGTGTGTGTGTGTGTGTGTGTGTGCACCTATGGCCTTGTGCCGGAAGTCAACCTTGGTTCTCAGGACATAATCAACCTTGTTTTTTGAGACAGGATCTCTCACTGGAACCTGGGCTGTCTCTGGCTCCCTAGCACCAGAATTACAAGAGAATGCTACCACATTGAGCTTTTCTATGTGGGTTCTAGGCATGGAATGCAGGTCCTCATGCTTGTGCCCCAGACACCTTAGTGATTAGGCGGTATCCCCAGCTTCATACTTGTGCATCAAGCATTTTATTGATTGGACTGTATCTCCAGCTTGACCCTGAACTTTAAACAACCCTTCCTCCCATTGAAGGGTTATTCCAAACATTAGTTAATTTTTTAAAAAGATTTATTTTATGAGGATGTATGTTTTTCCTATATGTATGTATGTATACCAACTGCATATATGCCTGGTATCTGTAGAGCCCCAGAAGAGAGCACATTATTCCCTGGAATTGAAGTTAAGGACGGTTGTGAGTCACCATGTAGGTGCTGGGACCGACAAGAACTGTGAACGCTCTTAACTGCTGAGCCATCCCTTTGAGCCCCTTGTATTTGTTTTTAAGACAGACCCTCGATGTGTGGCACAGGCTGGCCTTGAATGTATGATCATTCTGTCTCAGCCTCTCAAGTGCCAAGATTATAGTTCTGTGCCACCAGGAGTAGCTACAATCATTAATGTAAGCAGGTGTCTGTTGTTAAAATGGGGAGTTTGCCTGTAAGTCTGGATACATTGGCCTTCAAGCTCCAGCTGGCTTTCCTCCAAGCTCCTCTTGGCCTCTCTCAGAGGAGCCTTCTCTGACTGGCGATGTAGAAACCCTGTTTTGTAGTACATGTGGCTTTTTGTTTTTGTTTTGTTTTGTTTTCTGTAAGGGATCCAACCCCTTGGTTTGTGCACATCTCCAGCTCTCCTTAAGAGCTCATTCTATGTAACTGAGCCCTGTCTCTCTGTCTGGCACACTCCTGGCACTCAGTTGTTCACTTAGCATATGACCATTGCCTCTCCCTGTCATTGCTGTCCTCTGCTCAGACAGATGAGCCTGCTTTGTCTGGGGTGACTGGGGATGGGCTGGATAAAGGCCAGAACCCAGACAGGGGCCATCAAGAAGCCACACAGGACTTTTTAAAATGAAATTATAAGGAAGAGGTCATATTTCTCCTCTTGTTAGAATGTTAAGGGAAAACTCTAATAGAGAACAGAGTTTTAGAAGCAATAAGAAAATTTAGAAAGTTGCCAGACAAGATCAACTTAAAACCCATGTTAGCTATAAATAACAGAATCATAGAAACTAGGACATCCTTAGCATCACTGAATAACTAACTGTAAGTTAAGATGAAGACAGGTGACAGTGCCCAAGTCTTCATGGATAAGGATGTCAAGTCCTGACCTCTGACCCTTCTCCATGTGTGGTTTGTGCAGAACATTGACTGCTGCAGTGTGAGCACTGTGGGAAGGGCCCCACCGGGGTCTGACTGTCAGGCAAGTCTCCCCTCACGCTAAACCTGGGCTATGTGTAGTCACTTAGGGGAACAAGGAAACATCCCATATATTTGCAGTAGATATAAACACCAGGACTGCAACCCTGGGCAGAGAGTTGGTGATGTGTGGAGGGAAACTACATCCAACTACCTGAAGACTATCCAGGTTGCAATAATTGTCATCAAGGAAGAACAGAGGTTTTCACAAATAATTCAGGAACTGGGCCCAGTGGCTCAGCTCTGTCTTTCCAGCGACTAGAGTGCCTAAGGCAGAAGAATTACAAATTCAAGGACAACCCAGGTAACTTCAAAAAATAAAAATAAATAAAACAAGGGGGCTGGAGAGATGGCTCAGCAGTTAAGAGCACTGACTGCTCTTCTAGAGGACCCAGGTTCAATTCCCAGCACCCACATGGCAGCTAACAGCTGTTTATAACTCCAATATCTGACAGCCTAACACAGACATACATGTAGGCAAAGCACGAATGCAAATAAAATAAATTATTTTTTAAAAATAAAAGGAGAGCTGGAAATATAGCATAGTGGTTAGAGTTCTTGCTTCATGTGTGAGACGCTGGGGAAAAAGGTAACATGATCTGAGAAGCTGGTCATATGAAAGGCAGCCTCTTGAGAGTCAGGAGTGACCTGTACTGCAATTCCATAGCTTCAGGATAGCTTGGATCATGTAACAAGATCCTGTTTATACAAAAAGAGGCAGGGGAGGTGGCTGCAGAGATGGCTCAGTGGTTAAGAGTGAATTTGCTGCTCTTGCTGAGGATCCAGGTTTTGTTTCCAGAACCCACGTACCTGCTTACAACTCTCTGTAACTCCAGATTTTATACATATATATGATTTATTTATTTGTTATGTATGCAGTGTTCTGTCTGCATGTGTGCCCGCAGGCCAGAAGAGGGCACCAGATCTCATTACAGATGGTTGTGAGCCACTATGTGATTTCTGGGAATAGAACTCAGGACCTCTGGAAGAGCAGTCAGTGCTCCTAACCTCTGGGCTATCTCTCCAGCCCCCAATAAATATATTTTTAAGAGGCCAATTCTGCCAGGCATTGGTGGCGCACACCTTTAATCCCAGCACTTGGGAGGCAGAGGCAGATGGATCTCTGTGAGTTCAAGGCCAGCCTGGTCTCCAGCGCTAGTGCCAGGATAGGCGCCATAGCTACACAGAGAGAATCTGTCTCAAAAAACGGAAAAAAAAAAAAGAAAAGAAAGAGGCCAATTCCAAATGGATTAGACTAACTGTGAAAGGCAAAGCCAGGAAAGAAAGACACTGAATGAAAATCAGAAGCTTTCCGTCTCCCTCCCTTCCTGGCCTCTACACAGGCACTGAGAACGTCACAGCTCCTTCCCCCAGTACAGCAGCTGCTTTAGGGGTCCCTCCTGAAGTGTTTCTTTTCAGCCTGTTCTTGCCGTGGGTCATGGTCCCCGCTTCTTTGTGTGTTTTTATTTTGGTGTGCCCTAAACAACAAATGATGTGATGTGTGTGTATAGCCTGGATTCCTTTGTCTCTGAGAACAGTGTCTATTCATCTCAACAAGCAGTTAATGGGCCTGGACTGGTCCAAGTCTGATTCTGTGTGTATGGTCTGAGTAGTGAACTGCTAAGCGCAAAGGTTACCAGGTGAAATGGGGGTTGGGCTGGAGGTTAGTTTAGGGGTGACAGAGCATGAGGAACAGCTTTAAGGACTTGCCTGGCCGATT